TTTCATAATTTATTATGTGACAGACTAGCTACGTCATTCTGGCAAATCATATAGTCTACTTTGATACCCTGAAACGAAAAAATATATATTACCTAACTCATTAACATTTAGATTTTTGTCTTTCAGGAGCACTTTAAGACCTTTTAACTCCCAAATACCGACTTCTAAGAGCAACGGTATAACCAAATGGATTAAAAGTAAGTAAAAGCCCACACACAAACGAACTGCGGACATATCTTTTCGTACAGCGTCCTTCCCATGCAGTTTCAATCAGTTATTTCTTCTCGCCTGGTTTACTCAGTCAGCTAGCCCGTCAATACTGAAACACCAGAAAATTCCTCGTGGTATGTTATTTTGAGATGCTTTGTGTTGGATAGCCTTCTCAGATGTCTCAGACCATCCATGTTGCGACAACCAACATCATAACTAAATAATTTCTCGTGTACCACGCGAAGGCGAAAATAAGCACATTGTACATCACAGCTACCGTTAAACCAGTGGTACTGTGAGCCCGCTTCTTGGCCTCCCTGTCGCCAGCATCTACCATTCCATCGTTAAAATTTTGTTTCTTCGCTTTTTTGCTTTTCTTGCCGCTTGCAGAAGACAACTGTTCAAGAGATTCAACCATATTCATCTTGAAAGCCTCTTTGAGAGCACAATTTCTGTGCTTTCCAACGTTTCTGAAGTTGCGAGGCTTTGAGGACTTCGATGAATTTAAACGAATAGTCGGGAAGTTAATTGACGCCAGAAGGGATTTTTGAGACTATATTCAGATTTTTAAGCCTCATGGCCATGAAAAATTAAATCGGTGTCTCCGTCTGAAAGATAAATTACTTCGATAATGTCGATGGCTCTGCAGTGCGCCAGCAATGTAACGTCTTTTTTAAAAGCTACTGTAAATTCAATTTCCTGCTGTTATATTGTTTACCCGATTAATGATTTGTGTGATTTCCTTACCCTGAAATATTTATTCCGTAGACCCATGAATAGTCATCCGTATTACTGAGTGTCGCCGAGTAAAGCGCATAAATCAAAATTTATATCTCTCCGGATGAACAGATGCAGAAAACAACTAGAAAAAGCTCATGATCAGCTGCCAAAGTAAACCGCAACTTTGAATCATCGTGAGTATTCCTTTGAACAATTTCACGAATTTGCTCAAAACGTTTTTGTTTAGTTTGTGGATTATTAAAAAGAAATGATGGTAACATTTTAACTATTCAATCTTTTGAATCGCAGCGAAAAGAACAGGGAAAAATTAATTACTTTACTTTATCTGGCAAAGCTTTTCACAAGAATGTCGGGTTCAGCTCTGTGGTTTTGGTGCACCCGTTCCGCACGTTGTAATCCAGTAACTACTTAATATCTAGGGTTGTAATGATGTTGTAACCAGTAAATTATTGCATTGTAATCAAGCTAAACACAATGGCAATTCTTTAACTGGGAGAGGGGTGATCAATAAAGACAACAGCCGCGCTATTCGGCTCAATCGCTCAAATAATTTAATTTGTGGGTTACCGATCATCTCACAACAACCCA